TTTCATCAAGTTATTTTTGTTTAAAGTTATAAAAAAAATTTATTATAAAAAATTTGCTTAATTTCTATTGACTCACCCCCATATATAGCATTTTTTTTGCTTAAGTACTGTAATAATATCTTTGATTGAAAGAAGAAAAAGTACTAGCCGGTTTACTTGCAGGAACAATATCTTGAAAGAGTCAAATACTAAACTTTACTATAAGTTTGTTATATTAGATAAATAATTTTATGTAACTTCAAAATTCATATAAGCTTTTTTTTTTTTTAAGCTTTATAATGCTCTTTAAGTGTAGTAGTTTTTTGTAGTAATAATCTTTGATTAGAAAGAGAAAGAGTATTAGCTAGTGGCTTTGCAAAAACAATACTTTGAAAGAATTTATTAATGAACTTTTTGTAAGTTTCTTAAATTAGGTAAATAATTTTTGTATAATTACAGTATGTACTGTATATTAATATTTCTTTTTTTTTATATATTTAAAAACTTTTCATAAATTCTACTTTAACTTTATTAATAATATCTTCGATAAACAGGAGAAAAAGCATAACTGATACACTTTATACAAATAATATTCTAAAAATATTAAAATTTATTGTAAGTTTGTTTTATAAATATTGTAATTTATAATTTATAATTTTTCTTTCCAAATTATCATAATACAACCACTTTATTTTTTTTAGATAACATTTATTAGTCAACAACCAATCTATATATATGGATAAAATTGATGATAATAAGAATGAGATTTATAATCATAGGGTTTATGATGATGAGATAGATATTTTTAAGAATAACAATTATAATAGTAAATTAATCGTTCCAAATAATTCTGTCTCTGTATTATTAGTTTTAGATTCTTCAATTACCAATTCAAGTGCCAATTTAGGCACAAATTTAAGTACTAATTTAAGTGCTAATTCAAGTACCACCAATTCAAGTATTATTATTAATGCTACTAAAATATCTAATGAAACAACTACATTAAAGAATAGATCTCCTGTATGGGAAAATTTTTCCATATTAGAAAGTGATCTAAAAGCCAAATGTAAATACTGTAAAAAATTACTTAGCTACAAAAAAGAAAATAGAATAATATCACCTTAATTTTTGTATAAAGTATCAGAGATTAAATGCTAATATTGCAAATCAAAATAGTCAGAATGATCAATATAGTCAAACTCAACTAAGGTTTAATTCACCAATTAGCCGACCAAATACTAAAGACTCAAACTATAAAAACCTTGTATACATAATAGTTATAGATGAATTAAGCTTTCAGTTTGTTGAAAAACAAGGTTTTCAAAATTTGTTAATAAAGTATTATCTAGTTTTATCATCAGCGCCGATACTTAAAGCACGATATTATGAAGATTTTTAATAAAAGAAAATCTTTAGTTAAAGCAATTCTTCAAGATGCTAAAGGAAAAATTTCTCTTACTTGTAATACTTGGATGCAACTTGGATATATAGCAATCACTGTATATTTTTTTAATAAAAACTAGAAACTTATTTCAGTTTTATTATCATTTAAATTAATTTCTTATCTTTATACTAGAAGTAGTATTGCTAATTATATCAAAGAAATTACAGATGAATATTTTATTACTACTAAGATAATTAGAATTAATTTTTTTGTATATATATAATTATATGGTCCGGTGCAAAAAGATTGATACACCAATCTATTCATAATAAAAATTTTTTTCTAAAATTTAATATAAATGTT